TTATTAATTTCAATAAATAAAATATTATTAATTTCAATAAATATATATTAAATTTAAAGAATATATATATTTATATATATATATATATATTTATATATATACATTATAAATTTTAAATATTTTATTTATAAATAAAAAAGATCATTTAATTTATATATATATTTATAAAAAAATAATAGTTTTATTATAAAAAAATATTTATGTCAATTATTATATAAAGTCTAGGGAATTCTATCTTAAAAAAATTATCTTTAATCTAATTTACAGTTAGGGCAATTAAACCTTTCCTTTAGCCAAGCATCAATACATCCTTAATGAAACTTATGCATACAACCTAATAATTTAGCTTTATCTCTTAATTACCAATTGTCTAAACAAATTGAGCATTTTCATCTAAATCTGAAATTTTAATATCTACTATAGGGAAATTTTTAATCATTCAATACTTAGTCCTTATTTTTATTAAACAATTCCCTATACTAGCCTTATAGTTGCTATCATTTATGCTAATTCTTCTATATTTGTAATATTTCCTCCTGAAGTTTATATAGAACTTAACCTATTGTTTATATTTTCGACAAAACTTCGAAGTCCAGTTAAGATGTTTTCATGTCTAGTAAAATTACTATTGAGGTTTGCAAATTACATTAAAGGTATAAAAATTTGGAAAGTTCTTTCTTAAAAGGGATTATTATTATTATTATTATTATTATTATTATTATTATTATTATTATTATTATTAGTATTTTCTATATTATTATTTATGTGTCTTCTATTATTATTCTGATATTCTCTAATATATACTGGTTATTCATTTCTTTCTATATTTATTTATTATTAATATGGAATACTTGTTCTATTTTCTTTCGTTTCTTCTTCAGAATTTTCTTGTTATTAATTTTATCTTCTATTATTATTTTATAATTATTAAGAAGATGAAGAAGATGAATCTGATATTCTTTCATTATATCGTTCCTCGAATTATTCTCGCATTTATCTTCTTACTAGTTTACGTGCTCTTCGGTTTCTTTACTCCATTTATGAAATTAAGTTTTGTTATATAATATTTGCTTGTTGGATTTGTTATGTTTATTATATTTATCTTTGTTAATTTTATATAATTGAATTTTATTATGTATTTTATTCGTTTTGTATGTTTCTTATTATTTGAATTTATGGTCCGTGATTTTATTAATAAGTTTTTGACATTGCTTCCATTTTCTAAGGTTGTGATTAAATTATTTATTATGGATATGTTACTTATTATCTTTCAATTGTTTACTATGGCTAAATTATTTATTATATTTGGGTTTGTGGTAATGTTATTATTTTTGATGGCCTTATTGGAGGAATATCTATTTCTGGTTAAGTTGAAGTTTATTAAATATTAATTTTTTATTCTTCAGGTTTAATTTAGTCTGTATATATCTAAGAATCTTAATTATTTATTAATTAACTTTATTATTATATATTTTATTTAGATGGAGGGGAATGTTAATTTTATTTTTATTTTTATGAATTTTGTTATAATTGTATTTATTAGGATGATTATAGTTTTATTTATTATTATGTAATTTATTCATTAGTATTTATTTGAGAAATAATAGGTTATTAGATGTTCGTAGTTGTCTAGTTTATTCCTATATTTGTATTATAATTATTTTCAGTAGTTATGATTGCATTTAAAGATTTTATTTATTATTATTATTATTTTTCTTGTGTTTATTATTATTATTTAAGTTATTTTTCTTAACTTTGCTCTAAATTTGGTTTTTTAGAAGCTTTTTCATTTTAGATTTTATACTTTAAAATATTATTTTTAATATTTGAAGTCGTAGTTTTTATTGTAAATTTATTTTCTTAAACATTATTGTTTATTATCTAAATAAAAGTTCTTTATGACTTATTATAATTATTATTTTTAATCATATTTGTTTATAAAATAGATTTTTATATTATTTATTATTATCGAAGGATTTTATTGTTTAAGGTATTTGGTTGTTTTTGGGAAGAAATTAAACGAGCTTTTAAACTTTTATTAAATAAAGAAGTATTTTTGTTTGCTTTTTCAGGATTTGGTTGATTTTCATTTAATTGGATTTTATTTGTGGAAGGAGCAATACGTAATTTTTTAGGTTCGATTTTTTAGATTAATTTATTTTCTTATTTTAGTTTAATCATTTTTTTATTTTTTATTTAAAATATTATTTTTTTATCTTCTTTTTATTTATTTTATGATTGTATTTTTTTTTTTAAAAAAAAAAATATTATTATTATTATTAAAAAAATATTAATATTTTATATTAAATATAAAAAATAAATAACAAATATATTTTAATATTTTCAAATAAATAATATAAATAACAAAAAATTTTTAATTAGAAACACAAGAATATTCAAAATATTCTTATATTCAAATAAATAAATTGTTTTTTTTTTAATATTAAATAAAAGTGTTAAAATAATATGTAAATATATATAATTATATGTATAATATAAACAATTATAAATTATTATCTAAAATAAACTAAAATAGTGAAAAAATTTATTATTTTAAATTTAAAATCTAATTAATTAACTAAAAAATACATAAATAAATATATAAATAAAAAAATATAAAAAAAAAATATAATAAAAAAAAAATGGACTTAGAATTTCCTGATAAATGGAATAAAAATGTAGCTTATTATTTTGATGAATCTATTGGATGTTTTAACTATGCTTAATGTCATCCAATGAAGCCTTTAAGAGTTGCAATGACAGATACATTAATAAAATCATATAATTTGGATTAATAAATGAACCATTATGTAATAATAGAAAAAATATAATTGAATATATATATAAATAAATATATATATATATATATGTAAATATATATATATATATATGTTTAACAAAATAAAGGATCGTGATTATGTAAATTAATATATAAGAGAAGTTAATGAAAAAATGCTAACCAATTTCCATTCAGATGAATATATAAATTTAATTAAAAATGTGACTCCTTTCAATAAAAATGATTATGAAGATTAATTATATAGATGTAAATAAATAACAAATAATTTTATAATTAATAAAAAAAAAAATAAAAACAAATAAACATAGTTAATTTTGGTGATGATTGTCCTGTTTTAGATAGACTTTATGATTATTGTCTTACATATTCAGCAGGATCTATAGGTAAAATATAATAAAAATACTAATACAAAATAATATAAAAATATAATAAAAAAAATATAAATAGCTGGAGCAAATCTATTAGCAAATAAAAAAGTCGATATCGCAATCAATTGGTCCGGAGGATTACATCATGCCAAACAATCCGAAGCTTCCGGATTTTGTTATATAAATGATTGTGTATTAGCAATATTAGAATTATTAAAGTAAATATAAATATCTACAGATATAAAATTTAATCTATTTTTTTTTATAAAAAAAGAGTTTATTAACGTGTATTATATATAGATATTGATATTCATCATGGAGACGGGGTTGAAGAGGCTTTTTATTTAACAGATAGAGTAATGACATGTTCATTTCATAAATATAAAGATTATTTTCCAGGAACAGGTCATATAGAAGATATTGGATTTTAAAAAGGAAAATATTACGCGGTTAATTTTCCTTTGAATGAAGGATTAGATGATGAATAATTTATTTATATTTTTAAACCGGTTCTTACTTAAATTATGAATTAATATAGACCAGAAGCCGTTGTTCTTTAATGTGGGGCTGATAGTCTTTCTGGAGACAGGTTAGGGTGTTTTAATTTATCTATTAAAGGACATGGAGAATGTACAAGATTTATGAAAAGCTTTGGAGTTCCATTAATGCTTTTGGGAGGAGGTGGATATACTTTGAGAAATGTACCGAGATGTTGGGTTTATGAAACTTCAATAGCAGTAAATTAGGAAATTTAAGATGGTAATTTTTTAATTTTTGAAATTAAAAAAATTTAATATAAAGAAATGCCTGAAAATGATTATTTACATTATTTTGGACCAGAATATAAATTACATATGCCTATTAGTAATATGGAAAATTTAAATATGAAATAATATTTAGATTAAACTATGTATAATAAATAAAAAATTAAAAATATTTAAAAATAATTTAAAATAAAAAAAATATAGTGAATAAATACTAAAAAACTTAAAAAATATTAATCCTGGAACAATTAATATAAGCAATTATAATGAATAAGTAAAATAAAATAAAAATATATATAATATTAAATAATATATATATTTTATGTAAATAAATATATATATATATTATATATATATATATATATATATATATATATATATATATTTTTATTTAATATTAAAAGTTAAACAACGCAAATTTACTTATTGACGCTACTGAAATTATATCTTAAATTAATGATTAAAAAGATGCAAAGAGATATACTTTATTATGACATATTTAATTTAAAAATACATATTTTAAAATAAAATAAATATAAAATTATTAATATAAATATATTTACATAATTAATATAAAAATAAAATAAATTCTATTTATATAATTATATTATTTTATTTTTATAAAAGAATTAATATTATATAAATTATAAAATTCTCCGAAATATATTATTTGATTTTTTTTGTTTCCCTTTTTTACTTATATATTAATACAAAAATTAAAATTAATGTAAGATTAAACTTTAAGGAAAATTTAAAAGTTTTTCAATAATAGTTGGTATTATTTTAATGATATTTAGCATTTTAAGATATATTTATTTGCCTAGCATTGATATAACCAAGCCTTATTAATTATTTTAGCCAGCATATTTAATTATATTTGGATTAGTTTTAATTTTAGCAGCACTATAAGTATAATTTATTGTTGAAAACATGAAATTTTTAGGCAATGATTTCGGAAGGGGTTTATTTAATATATATATATGCACTATTATATTAGGAAATTTAACTGGAGATAGTTTTATTAAAATAGTATCAATAACAATTGCTATTATTATGTTTGTAACAGGCATTATTTATATTTTTACATACGGATGCTGCAAACCTGTTAATAATAATTAATAGTAGTCGCAGTAGTTATTATAAGAATGAAATAGATTATAAATTAAAGACATATTAAACATATATATATAAAAAAAAGTTTTTTTAAAAAAAATGGTAATTTATTTAAGAAAAAAAATATTTATAAATAACGTACTAATATAAATAATTTAAAAATAAAATAAAAACAAAACAAAACAAAATTAAAAAACGTAATTTATTTATGTTTATTTAATATTTTTTATTTATTTTTTAAAAAAAATCATTATTACTCTAAAAAATAAAAATTTAATGCTATTTTCTTTTGAAAATTATGTTTATTTTTATGTACAATATAATAAGGAGATTTATTTTTTTTTAAAAAAAAAAAATATTAATAAACAATATTTTAAATTTATAAATAAAAAATTATTAACCTATATATATATATATGATGTGTTTACCCATTTTTGAAAAAAAAAAAAATCAATATATAAATTTTCAATTAACTTTTTCCCAAATTTATACTTGACCTGCATATCCTTATTCCTTATTTTCAGCATCATGTTTTTATCTATGTACAACAATTTTTATATAAACAATAATATATCCAATCATTCCAATTAAAAATGCTGCAATATTTATAATTACGATTTAATATTCTTCTATTCTGGTTGCTACTTCTAGTTCGAATTAACAAAGTTAACCTACAAAAGGATAAGGACAAAAACATTCTCCATTATTACATATACCTTTATTTAAGCATTTACTATTCTAATTATTACATATTTAAATTCCTTACATATGTAAAAGATTATTTTTATTGCTTAATTATTAGAACTTTTTTTTTTTAAGATCATCTTTAAGCTGTTTTTTGCTATATTATATTTGAGATTAAGTTTATTTAATATTATTTGAAAAAGTTAATAATATAAGAAAGTAAATATAAATATTCATTAATTTAATTATTTTTTAAAGATTTTATTTTTATATATAAAATTGTAAAGTATCTATATAAATAATGAAAATTTATAAATATATTTTATATTATTTTTTTTATGTATTTTTTTTTTAAAAAAAAAAAATTAAAATAATATTATTTTGATTAAGATAGAGGTAGATAACTTATGTTTTTTTCCGAATTTCGAAATGTATTCAAACTTTAGTTTTAGAAAGTATTTATTATATATTAACGATTAATAAAAATATCAAATTGAAAACATAAATGATTTTTAAATAATATTTCCTTTATTTATACATGAAAATGATAAATAAAAAAATTCACTTGAATAAATGTAGTATATATTATCTATTTAGAGATATTATAGAAAATAAGATTATATTGATGATGATAAATAAATAAAATAAAATAATATATGTAAAAATTAAATATAAGAATTGTTATATCAAAAATGTCAAAAATAAAATAAAAAAGAATCTAATATTAATATTTAAAGAATTAAAATAATAATTATTAAAATTGAAAAATATAAAATTATAAAAATTAATATTTTTAATTATTTGATATTGTATAGAGTAGAAAAAATTCTTATAAAATAAGAGAGATATTATTATAGAAGAAAAATATATATTTAAAAATATTTTTAATAATCTAAAAACTATATAAAAAAAATATTTAATAAATTTAATATGTATTAATCTAAAATTAAAAGAAAATAAAAGGCAATAATTAATAAAATTAATATTAATTAATCAATTGAGCTAAAATTAAATCAAAAATTTAATTAGAATCTATTAATAAAAATATACTCCAAGATATTTCTTTTATTTAAAATCATATATATAGAAGAATTGTAAATATAATTAAAAAATACTTTTTAAAGATATCAATTATTTTAAAAATTGCGATAATAAATTGCTAAATGAATTATTTTATTTTATATAATTATTTAGATCATTAAATAAAAAAAATGATTGAACTTTAAAAAAAAACTTAGAGAATTAAGCTGATATTAACTTTCTGATTAATATTTGTTTGAAAGAATTAAAAATTATTTATAAACTTTAAAATAATCAAGAAGTATTAAAAATATAAAAAAGTAAATAATAAAGTAACTTTTTTGGGATTTTAATTATATTTTGAAAATTAGAAAAAAATAAGGTTTACCTTTGACGTTTATAGTATTAATTTTAAAGATAATAATCAATTTAATTAATATTTAAATTTTTATGTATTTAATTATATATATTATAGGATTAAGTTATATAACTTTTATTTTATTTGTGATAAGAATTTTAATATTTAATTTATTCATAATTAATTATTTTTCATATCAAATAAATATTAATTATTTATTTATATTTTTTTAACTTAAATTAAATATTTTAAATTATAACATTTTTTCAATTAAGACAATATTATAAAATAAATAATTTTCAAAAAAAAAAAAATTTCAAACAAATTAATTACTTATTTATAATAATTCCAAAAAAAAAAAAAAACAATAAATAAATAAATATATATATATATATATATATAATTAAATGTAATAATTTCCATCATCAAAGCAAAATTATCAAATTTCATATTTAATAAAAGAAGAAATTGAAGATCATATAAACACATAAAATTAGGAAAACATCAGCCAAGAAAAAAATATAAAACAATTATCTGAAAGAATATATAAGACGTTAAAATAACATGAAATCGATTAGTTAATATAATAATTAACATTATAAGGTATGGAAGCGTTAAAAAGGAAAGGTCTAAATATGCGTTCGAATAGTTAAACAACGTTTTGCAATTCTTAAATAAAACGAAAGTAAAATAATTCTTAAGGAAAAAGTTAAAATTTAAACAATTCATAAAGTGTCTAAAATGTATTTGAAAGATTACACTAATATAGCTTTATAAAATAGGATAAATAATTATTATTGTAATCTTTATTAAAATAATAAAGGAATTAAAGTCCTCATTATACATCTGAAAATTCTAATTTTATTTTACAATAAAAAATCGAATAAAATTTAATAATTGCAATTGAAGAAGTGAGTAATTAAGAAAAGATTACTTTCTAATAATTGGGAAGAATTTTAACTAAATTAAATATTCTTACTTTAATTTAATATGATGATAAATTTAATCTAGTTAATAAAAGTTGTATTTCTTAAAATGATTTTTTCATTTAAAATTCAAGTTTATCAAAATTTAAAGAAATGTGCTTTCACGAGGTTTTTTGGAAAATTCTGTCTTATAGAAATGAAGAAGATGATTTTATTTCTCTAAATGAAACAATAAATATTCTGCGGGTATTATTAAGTCCTTTAAAATAAAACCAAGTGCAATAAATAGGAAATATTTTGGAAATTAAAGATTTATAAGAATAGGAAGATTATTAAAATGATATTAAGTAATTATTGAATGTTTGGAAAGATATTTCTTTGATTTATTTTTATTCTTAAAGAATAGGTCTTTAGAAAAATAAGTTCCTTAATTAGATTTATTAGGAAAGGGTAGAATAATTCACTTTTTAACCTAAAATCGAAAAAACTTCGTAATTATTAGAGTTGAATTGTACAGCTAATTTTTTAGCTAGAAATCCTATTGAAGGGATAGATTAGGAAGTTTTCGAATAAAAATAAAAAGAATTGGAAGCTTAATTAGGCATATAAAATCATGAAAATTCAAAAGAAGAAAATAGTATTTCATAAAAAAGTATTTTTATTTAAAAAAAAATTATTTTATTTTATTTTTAAAGAATAACGAAATTACTAAAATTAATAATTAGATAGAATAAAGATTTTATATAAAAAGAAAGAATTGCATGATAGAAAAATTGAAGAATAAATAAAAGATAAGGAAATGCAAGAAATGGAATAATGTACGTTTAGACCAATATTAAATTAAAGTAGTTTAAATTAATAAATAAACGAATATTATGAAATTAATATTTTTGAAAGACTCTATAATTAAAAAATAAGTAAATAAGAAAAAAGTTTATTAGAAAATCAAGTTTAGGAATATAAAGAATAGGAATAGCTTTAAAGCTGTACTTTTCATCCTTAAATACATAAAATGAATGGAGAAATTATAAATAATTTAAATTCCGAATAAATAGTAAACGGCTTTTCAAAAACAGTAGATAGAATATAAGGTGGATTTTACAAAGCTAAATTATTAAAATAACAATTATAATAATTTAGTATAGGAGAAAATCTCGAAAAGTTAAAATAACTTAAGAACTAGCCCCCGAAGTTCTGTTATAGATAAAAAAATAATTAAAACAATTTACCTTATACGAAAATTTAAATAAATTTAGGAAAAGGAAAGACAAATATTGTTAAATTATTCTAAAATGAAGATCCGTTGTAAAAAGCAAAAAGCTTTGCTAAAATACATGGGTTAAATAAAGAAATTGAAATTTAATTGTATTAATTTTTTTGTAATTAATTGGATGATTTTAAATATAATTAAAATTTCTAATGAATTTTATTATTACAATTATATATATGTATTATTTTATTTTTTTTATTATATAAAAGATATTTTTTTT